ATAATTTAAAATGATGTTCTTGAAGATTGGAGAATAGAGGTAAATGCTCCAATACAAAACGCTTAATGCTACTGGACGCTGTGGGCCACACCTTTGATTGACAGTGCTTGAGAGGCGGGGCAATCAGATCTCTTGAATTCCAGTCCAGAGCTACATAGTGAAACCCTGTCTAAATAAAAAAAAGTGTAAACCTGCACACAAAACTATAAACCCTCTGTGGTTTTAGATTTAGACCTATTTATGGATGTGTGTATACACACACGTACATGTGTGAGAACACACACATACACACATTCTTTAAAAAGAACAAAATTACACCAAAATGGTGTATTTACGTACATTTTATGTTGACTGCATTTTCAATAAAATACCTAGATGGGAAGTGATGACAGAATTTCCCCAAGAAAGAAGCTCCATCAGTCTGGTCGGCCTGGCCGGATCCCTGTACGCCATTGGTGGTTTTGCAATGATTCAACTGGAATCGAAAGAGTTTGCACCCACTGAAGTCAATGACATATGGAAGTAAGTTTTCCTCAGTCTAATTCTTTGAATCAAGTATTAACCAGTTAACTGGGAAGTCAGTTTACAGTAAATAAGCCAGATTTTCCCATCATGCCACTTCCCAGGGGTAAACTCTACACTTCAAGCCTAAATGAACTTTTGAATATGCCACTTATTGATCAAGTACTATTTGTGATTGGTTAGCTGTGAGATTAAGGAAAGAACTCATCCAGAATACCTTTTTGGTTGGTTTTGTTGTTGTTATTTTATATATATGGTGTTTTGCATATGTGTATGTCTGATGTGTTTGGAGGTCACAAGAGGGAACTGGATGTCCTGGAGCTAGAGTTACTATCAACTGTGAACCACCATGTGGATGTTGGGAATCAAGCCTGGGTCCCCTGGAAGAACATCCAGTGCTCTTAACTGCTAAGCTATCTTTCCAGTCCTAGGTTGGTTCCTGCAGCCAACCCAGGTACTGTGCTTGACATTTGAGGACAGGAGGGGGCTTTTGGGTGCCTACAGAGATCCTAAGTGAGTCCAGGTTGCATATGTCCTGACTCGCAATTCAGGCTAAGTCCTGCCTCTCTGAGTTCTCCCACGTAAGAGTCCACATCCTGACTCTTCCCCAGCAATCTTCTTTAGTCCCACGGTGGGTGATCTGTCCATTACTTTTTCTGGACGGTCCGATTCCAGTACAATGGCCATGGTGCAGATATATGCTCACTCACAGGTACATACATTGAAAGGAATTCCACAGGTACATACATTGAAAGGAATTCAACTGGTACCAGGCAAGGAACTTTGTCTTGGCAGGAGGCAGTGGGGTTTTTCCCCACGAGACCCCATTTTTATACTGAGTACAAAGAAACTTACAAATGCTCTCATTAAAGGCTGCTCATTGTTTTTTGTTTGTTTGTTTGTTTGTTTTTTCTTCCATCAGGTATGAAGATGATAAAAAAGAATGGGCTGGGATGTTGAAGGAAATACGTTATGCTTCGGGAGCTAGTTGCCTAGCAACACGCTTAAATCTGTTCAAACTGTCTAAACTATAAACAAGGTGACAAAAATAATCGTTTGAGAAGTGGCTGGTTGGGACAAGAGGCCTATAATTTATTGTCTTTCTTTAAGCCTGTGCAATGATTCATGTAGAGTCTCTGAGGTTGACAGTGTAGCCGAATCTCAGTCACTGCTTTGTTCCAACGCCGAGTATTAAACCATTTACTAGGAGCTTTAGTGAACAATGTACTTTTGTTAAACTTTACTCAGACGTGGGCTTTCTAAATCTGAGCTGTTTACTAAGTCTTTGTATTCTTAAGGTACATTTACGCTCGTTTTCTATTGTCAATGAAATGCATATGTCTACATTCTAAAGAAATGTTTGAGTAACAGAACCCTTTCCTCACGTTGTGAGCTATGATGGGGATCTTGTGCATTATAACAAAGATGACTGGAAATGCTGTTTAAGAAAAACAATAAATGAGTCTCATCTGAAGGGCAAAGTGTCTATTCAAATCCAAATGGCCTCCTCCCGTGCCTTTTAAATTTTTATTTTTATGTGTATGAGTGTTTTACCTGAGTGTATGTCTGTACACCACCACATGCCTGCCGGGTGCCCACAGAGACCAGTAGGCATCAGATCCCTGGTGACTGGAGTTAGAGATGGTTGTGTGCTGCCATGTGGGCGCTGGGAACCAATCCCCGGTCCTCTGGAAGAACAGCAAGTGCTCTCGACTGCTGAGCCAACTCTCTAGTCCCTTTCTCCTTCTGTAACACTGGCATATTAGCTATTCTCAAATCAAGATGTAGTATTTTGTGTGTATCTGTATACCATGTATGCGTGCTTGCATGTACCACCGTGCGTGTGTGGAGGTCAGAGGGCAAGCTCAAGTGTCTTCCCACCTTTCAGAGTCACAGTCTCCTTGCCGCTTCTCCACTGTGGACCGTAGGCTAGCAGGTCTGCAAGCTCCTGTGAACACTCCTGCCTGCATCCCGTCTTCCTGGAGTAGCGCTCATGCTACATGCCAGTCTTTTTCTGTGGGTTCTAGGATCTGAACTCTGGTCCTCAGCTTTTGAGGTGAGCATGCTTACCAGCTGACCCATCTCTCCAGCCCCAAATATAAAATGCCTAAGTAAAAAAACCCAGTAAATCATAGCCTTCACAATATCAACCACAGCAGCTATAACGGGGAGCAATCTTTAGACTTCCGAGGCAGATGACAATATGAAGGAGGGTTGACAGTCACTGGTTTGATTTATAGCCTTATATTCCATTAAAGGGCTGCTTCTTTGGCATATTTCCAACAGCAAGAGAGATGACTGAGCCAGGTTTGGTGGCACACATCTGAAACCCTGGCTTCTTCAGAGGCTGACTGTTGGGACACATAAGTGTGAGCCCAGCTTGGGAGACAGAGAGAGACTCCATGAGGAGGGCTGGGAGGCTCTACACCTACTGTTTTTTGTTTGTTGTTGTTGTTGTTTTTGGTGTCTAGAAAGACTCCTCAGTCTACCATAATCAGATTCGGCCATGTAAGTCATGAACTGGCCATCACCTGGACCCCACCACACATCTGTTTATGGATGGATACCGGGGACCTGAGTGCCAGCCTCAGCGACTCCCCAGGGTTCAGAAGACTCACAGCAAGCACAGGACTTAGATCTCAGGGCGAAAAGAAACTCGCCCTAAGTACTTTTCTGCATCTGTTTCTTTATTCTTCTCCCGCTGTCCTCCTCCTGTTCTGTAAAGTTTATATACACAAGCAAAACAAAGGCAATTCTCTGAGCCTGGACATCCCTTTATCTGTGAAGGGCCCTAATACAATCTGTATGAAAGACTCCTTTCCTGACTGCATGCCCTGCCTAATGGAAGAGAGTTGCAGGGAGATGGCTTCTAATGTACCTCAGGGAAGGAAGCGGAGATTAGATTGTGGGAATCAAGGTTACTGACTGCGTGACTAAACTTGCCACTGGAGTTCCACAGAGTGGGGTGTGTGTGTGACCCAATATACCAGTACATGGGAAAGAATTGGGTCCAATGATCCATACTCTGCTCAATCTTGCACCAAGGGAAAAGGCTGATGGCTTCATAGAGATCTACTGTAAGAAGCCGATATACAAAAGGCTACCACCGAGCACCTTGCGAACTGGGTTTGCCTCCATCAGCACGCATTCGTTCTGGTGGGTCAGCCTCCTGCTCTGTCAGCTGAGATCGCACTGCAGGATCCCTGCGGATGATGGGTCATCATGGGCCTCCTTTGCTGGCTCTTCTTTCTGGTCTCTTCATGCTAGAGTGCCCGAGGGGACAGTCACACATCTCTCCTCCATCCCCACTCTTCTCCAACAGCATCTTAAAGTGATTTCATGGAGTCATGTGGTATTAAATACCAGTGATAACTTCCACATTTCTTTCTGGAGCCTACACCTCTCTGTGACCTCCAAACTCCCCGAGTGGACTTCTCCATTTAGATGTTGGAAGAAGACCATAAATTCAACATGTCTGAACAGATTTAGGATTTGTCTCAACAGCAGTCCACTCCCACCTAACTCTTCCCATGGACCCCCATCTTGGTGAGAGGAATGGATCTGTGTCTCACCCTCTCACCTAAGACTCAGGATGTCCCGGATGTGGTGGCGGGAAGACTGTAAGAGTTACATAGTGTCTTCTGGAGTAACAGGCACTTGTAACCATGAATTCTCAGCAGCTAGAGTTGCCTACTCAAGGCCTGCACGAGATCAAGCTGGTCAACATTCAGACACAGATGTGGGGGCTCACACATAGCAGCTGCCGAGGAGCAGGTTGTCTTTCATCTGGACCAGGCCAGGCTACAGAGGACAACCCTCCACCCACGCACCTTACTAAATGAATTCACTAGGTTATACATACAAACAGGAAGGCAGAACAGGGATCAGGGAGAGGGACACAGAAGGAGCTGGGGAGGGGAGGGAGAGGTAGACTTGGATTTGATCTAAATAAAACACATTCATGCATGAAGAAAAAAATAGAAACATTTAAAATTGTGCCTTATGATTTTTTGGGGGGGAGGGGGTTCTGGGGTGGATATTTTGAGACAGTGTCTCACACTATGGCCTAGGCTGGCCTGGAACTCACTATGTACCACAAGCTGGCCTCGATCCTACAGCAGCTTTCCTACCTCCCCCCAGAGTATTGGGATTAGCTCACCTATTAAAAGAGTTCTTAGCTGGACATGACGGCACATAACTATAATCCCAGCACTCAAGAAGCAGAGGCAGGAGGACTGCTGCAAGGTTACAGCCAGGACTACTTAAGATACTTTAAAAATACGAACTGTGTACATTCTTAGCATTCCTTGCTTAAAACTTTGCAGTGGCTTTTCGTCTCACCCGGGGTAGCCATGAGGTCGTACGTGGCTGACTGTTTCCTCTGACTTTTTACTCTCCTCCCAACCACTTCCCACCTGATCTGCTCTAACCATAGCTGAGCTCTTGTTAATCCCAAACACATCAGGTGTGTTCCCAACTCAGAATATTTGCACTTGGCATTGTTTAATTGAGTCAGACCACCTAAGTCAAGGAAATACAGACGTCGTATGCCATGGTCGTCTTAAGTGGAAACTCAATCATGATTTGCCTGCTCCAAATATATGTTCTCTCAGGTAGTCCATCCTTGCATCCTGTGTTGACAGTGCCATAGAGTTCCAGTCAAAGTAAGGGACCTGCAAAGCAAGCCGTTCGTTTGAATACAAGTTGGAAAGCAACCACGAGTGTTTTTAATTTGATTTCCCCACCGTTAGGTAGATCTCCCTATTGGTCTAGTGAGGGGATATATTAGCTTTCTAATGATAGCTTCAGAGATTTAGAAAATGTTGTAAATGCAGGAATTATTTTTATAATCTAATTTTTTATTGATTCTTTGGGAATTTCACATCATGAACCCAAACCGGCTCACCTCCTAGTCCCTCCATATCTGCCCCTCACCCTGCAGCATCCTCCACAAAAGAAACACCCCTCCTCATTAATTAAAAGAAAACAAAACAAAATGAACAAAAACTACCTCACTCCTCCAATTTTCCTGCCTCTCCAACACCTCTTCATTTGTCCTGGTGGCATTGGGAGCTGTGGTGTGTCACAAAAGTCTCCCCTTTTGTCCAATCAGCCCTACCCACAAATCTTCATTGCAATGAGTCCTTGGGCTGGTTCAAGGCCTCTGGCCTCTGGTAAACCGTCATCACTGGACCCTCACCAAAACTCAGATATCTTGCTGTTGCCCCAGCTATGGAAATTCTGTGGCTATCATTTTTTTAAATAAAGATTTACTTATTATGTATACAGTATTTTCAGTATTTTGTCTGCATGTCTGCCTGCAAGCCTTTGTGAGCCACCATGTGGTTGCTGGGAATTGAACTCAGGACCTTTGGAAGAGCAAGCAGTGCTCTTAACTGCTGAGTCACCTCTCCAGCCCTATGGCTATCATTTTGCAGGACTGGTCCCTTCATGTACTCCAGGTCCTGGGTGGTAGCTGAACTGGTCAGTTGGGGGCACTGGAGCCACCATCCTTAGGCAAGGGGTGGAGCCAGCTTTCCTACACCCATGCCACTGCCATTAGGGCCAGCTCTCCCACAGCAGTGGTGAGGGGTGGGACCATCTCATCTCTCCTTTGTATGGGGTAGGGAAAGAGAGCTCTCCCATGAGGGGTGGAGCCAACTCCTTTTAATAAGGGGATATATAAGGTTTCTAATGATAGCTTCAGAGATTTATCAAATTTTATCAAATACAGAAATTATTTTATTGGTCTCTAAGGTTATGAGCTAAGAGTGTGTACATGATTTGTCACCCAGTATTTGTTGTTGCTGATTATTCTGTGCTAAAAAATGAAGAAAGGTGGGCACAGAGCCGACACCACCTAGATACAGAAACAGGCTCCGTAGATGCCACAGCTGACAGGCCCTAGGCCTGGGACTTCTCAGGCTCCAGAAATGTTATAAATAAAAGCCTGCTATTGACTAGCTCCCCAACCCCCACCCCTCAAATAGGAAAGAAACCATGCATGGTGGCTCCCAGTTGGAATACCAGCACTCCAGAAGCTGAGCCAGGAGGAGCGCCACACGTTCAAGACCAGACTGGGCAAAACCATACTGAGTTCCAGACCAGCATGGCTAGAGCACGTGACCATGTCTCAACCCCACTATGACTCTCCCACCTAAAAAAAAAAAAAAAAAAGAAAAGAAAAGAAAAAAGAAAGAAAGAAAAGAAAATAGGAAAGCCTGGGGACAGAGAGATGGTTCAGTGGTTAAAATCACTGGCTGCTCCTCCAGAGGAGCTGGGTTTGATTCCCTGCACCCACACAGTGGCTCACAACTGTAACTCCAGCTCCAGGGGACTCAGTGCCCTCTTCAGGCCTCTGAAAGCATCAGACGGGCATGTGTGTACAGACATACATACAGGCAAAACATCCATCTACCTAAAACATTTAAAACAAAACAAATGACAAAATCTGAGAAGCCAGCCTGAATGACCGGCTGAACCTCACTGCTAATTATAAACAGTACTTCATCCTGCCGCCCCAACCCCAAGTATGCATGTGGTGCACAGACATATAAACACACAAGCCAAACACCTACATACATAAAAAATAAAAATACATTTTTAAAAATTAAAATAAATTTAAAAGGGGAAGAGACCATAGCTCTCATCAGACCCCTTGGCTGGCAGTGGGCTTTGGGCATGTCTGTCGGGCTCTGATTAGCTCACACTGTGCACATTTGCAAGCATGCATGCATGGGGGGGCGATAAGAGACATAAGCATGGAATAAACATGCTTCTGCCATTCTTAGGTTGTCACGCTTTCATGCTTAAGATGGCCTGTTTGCACAGAGGTGTGAGTCCCTCCCCAAACAGTAATGAAACTATTTATGCCATCTTATAATAAAGGCTGAAAAATTGCTGTTTCAATTCACTTAAAAATGCTTTTCTTCGGATCTTAGTGAGTTCAAGACCAGCCTGGTCTACCAAGCGAGTTCCAGGACAGCCAGGACACTTACACAGAGGAACCCTATCTTGGAAAAACAAACAAACAAACAAGTAAACAAAACCCCAAAACTTTTCTACATACCCTTGCTAACAGATTTTGAAGAAATTATATAAGGTGATCAAGGATTTAAATGGTACAATAATGTAAAAAAATTAGCTTAAAAACATTTATTTTTATATTGAATGTTTATTTGAAATCAAATGAGATTTTTACATAATGTTCAATTATATATACATGGGCTAGAGAGATAGCTCAGCAGTTAAGAGCACATACTGCCCGTGCAGAGACTCCAAGCCATGCCAGGAGGCTCACCAGCACCTGGAACTCCAGCTCCTGAGGAAGTCAACTGCTCCAGCCTCCAGAGGCCCTGCATTCACCTACACAGACTCACACTCACACACACACACGCAGAATTCACTTTAAAAAATCAGTCTTCAAAAATAAATAAAGCAGCTAAAGAAAGAGCAGGGCAGACTTCGGAGCTTTACCAAAGAGGCTGCAGGAGCCTACGGAGGCGGTGACTGAAGCACAGCCTCTGAATCTGAGAAACTACGTGGAGGAGCTTTCCTCCTGCCACTGCCCAGAAAACATGTTCTGCCTCCCAGCTCCCTTCGTCCCCACTCCTACAACGTCAGTCTACATAGGACACATTAGCCTTTTCCTTCTAAATCCTGCCCATAATGTCTGATATGCATGTGCTAGGATGTGCATGAGCCGCTATGGACAGTTCTTCATTTGTTTGAGACAAGGTCCCACTATGTAATCGAGTCTAGCCTTGAACTTGCTATGTGGGACAGGATAACCCCAAACTTGAGATCCTTCTGCCTCAGACTTATGGTGCTGGGATTACAGGCCTGCACACCATGCCTTAAACACTCTGTGTGTGTGTGTGTGTTACGCACATGCATGCAGATACACATATTCATGTGTGCTGGGAGACGAGTGTCCTACTCTATCTATACCTTATTCCCTTGAGACAAGGTCTCTTATAGGACCTGCAGCTAGACTGGTAGAGCCTCCAGCTGACCACCCATCTCTGGGACCATAGACATGCCTGGCCCTACCCACTCCACCATGCCTGTTTAGAGGCTGAATTACACGACTGTTTCCTACCTGAATAACACGATAGCCCAAAATTTCCAGATGTCGTTTTTTCATAGCAGATTTTCCTTTTAAGTGAGGAATGTTTGAACAAAAGGCTCTTACATCCAGAAATTCTAAAGCAATCCTACAAAATATAAAAAATGCTTACTTCCAAACTCAAAATGGGAATTTAAATAACCAGAAACCACAAGCCTGTCAGGAAAAATGCATTCATATAAACTAACAAAGGCTCAATGACTATAAATAATCAAAAGGTATTTTTTATCTTGCTCATTTTCTGAGACAGAGTATTACCACCAATGTGGTGGTTTGAATGACTGTCCCCAGTCTCTCAAACTTGAATATTTAGTCCCCATTTGATGGCTGTATTTGGAGAGGCTTGGGGAGGCGTAGCCTTGCTGGAGAAAAGTATGTCACTAAGGGTGGACTCTGAGGTTTCAAGAGTCACATGCCATTCCCAGCTTGCTCCCCCTGTCTCTGCCTGTGGTTCAGGATGTAAGCTACCTGCTCCGGTGGCCACGCCCGCCTGCTGCCATGCTTCCCCGCCTCAATGGTGATAGACTCTTCTCCCTCTGGAACCATAAGCCCCAAATAAATTCTTCCTTGTCTAAGAAGCCTTGCACATGGTGTTTATCACAGCAATGGAAAAGTGACGAATACACGCTAGCCTTGAACTACCTCTTACTTCTACCACCCAAGTGCTGGGATGACAGGCACATGCCACACCCAGCCCCAAATTGTTTTTCTACTTAAGAAATTAGTGACTGAAGTCAAACTTTTTCATTTCAAGAAACTACAAAACAAAACATCTCGTAACACTCATAAGTTTCTTTGTCCAACAGGCACCTATGAGGTGAAGACTTCCATAAAGAATTCACCCATAAAGTCAAGCAGCTAAGTGCTCCCCCAAGTGGAGAAGTATGGGGTGCTAAGAAGAAAACAATGCACACCTGGCTGAGGATGACCAGGTCACTGCTTGGTTACACAGACTGCTGAAGGAAAGTCACTGGCAGAAGGCACAGGGCAGGCAAAAGCATGGAGACAAATGCTATGGGATGTTTGAGTAGCAGGTGCTAAAGCTAACCCCTAATACAGGAGGCTATGACATAATACCAAATACAACCATTCAAAAAATACCCCAAAACTAACATATAAATTACCTCTCAGATTCTGGTGGAAGCCTTGACTCAACTCTTGAAGTATTTGACTCCCAGTATATTCCTGGTGATTTCCCTGGAGTTAGGCTGTGGCTTCCATAAGGAAGAGGTTTTTTCCGTTTATCCAAAATACATTCAAAATCTTATTTTAAAAATAAAAAGAATCAATAGTATAAATTAGGTAAATTCTAGCAGTCAAAAGTTTAAGTATATTTTAAACATATTTACATAGGCATGTATATTCACACATGTATTTAAAAGAGCAAAAAGAACAACATAGCTCCCTGACCATCCGACTCATTTTGTAAGGTAGCGTCCAGTTGATACTTTTCTTTGAAAATCAATAAATACCAAGCAAGTATTAGTGAACTACAGCACATAGCTGGCTACACTTAGCACTGAGCTAAGTCTAATCATATGTGAGAGTTTTGCTTTAAGCCAGGCATAGTGATGCATGCCTGGAATCTCAGCAACTGGGAGGCTAAGGCAGAAGAATAAGTTAGGGTCAGCTAAGCTACATAGCCAGACTGTCTCAAAAAAAAAAAAAAGGTTTATTTTACTATCTTTAAGTTTCTCGGTCCCCTTTGGAGGGTGCTAAGACAACACATCTATACAAGGACAAGCCTTCCTATATGAACCGCATGCACAGGAGCTAAGCCGACACAGAAACGTTTTTCAGAGACACATCGGAGCCATCAATGTAGAAGGAACGGTGCGTGCAGAAGCCTGCTATTCTGGCCTCCCTTACAGATGCTGGATTTAGGTAAGGAGCGATGGGCAATGGCTGCTAAAGTCAGCAGGGCAAACGCTCACAAGGGAACTGTCTCACAGGTAAGTCGGCCTGGAGAGCGTCACAGACCCACTGATGAGTGATGAGTTTTGATACGATGCAATAATAGTCATCTGTGAGACAGTCTGGCTAAAGACAAATTAAAGCTAGAGTCCAGTTAAATAAGCATCGACCTCTAACTGCTGGTTTACCAGAAAGGTGAGAGCAACATGAGCAAGTGAAATGATGCCAAAGGGATTCGATCAGAGGAGTCTAGAGGATAAAATGTTCTCCAATAAATTATAATGGGGGGGGAGAAAAACTGAAGAAAAAAAAGACAAATTAACCAAATGCAATGTTTGTATCCAAATTTGAACAAATAAATCAAATATATATATAAGAAACAACCATGAAGGCTATATGATATTAAATTTAGTTATTCTACCTTTTCTGAGACAGGCTCTTGCTATGTTGCTTAGCTTGCAAAAAAATCCCAATGCTCAAGTCATCCTCCTGCCTCAGTTTCTTCCATAAGTGGACTACCAGCATATGCCACAGCACCCAGCTTTACTCTACATAGCAGTTGAACGAATGTTCCCCATCATCTCAGGATTTGAACACATGGTCCCTAGTTGCACTGCTTGAGGAGGCTTAGGAGGTGTGGCCCTGCTGGATGGAGTGCATCACTGGACACAGAGTTTGTGGTTTCAAAGCCTCCTACCACCCTCCATGGACTCTGCCTCAGTTCCTGCCTCCACGTTTCTGCCCTACCTTCCCTGGATGACAGGCAACAAGCTGTAAGATGAAATCAACCTTTCTCTCCCCACGTTGCTTTTGGTCATGGTGTTTCTTACAGCAATAGAAAGCAAATTAGGACAGATGGTCTCACCTGAAATTTACATAATGGGATTAACCATCAATATGACGGTATCAGGAGGTGACTGTTTCATGCGGGCAGAGCCCTCATTACCTTGAAAACCAGGGGTGCAGCTGGAGAGGAGCAACAAAGGCCTACATTTTCTCCAAAGCCCTGCTGTGCGCTTTGCTTTTCTTTCTTAGTTTGTTTTTGGGGCAGATTCTTGCTCTCCACCAAAACCGACTGAGAAACTGGGATTATAGGCATGTGCCACCATGTCCAGGGAGGATAGGATCTTGTTGGGGTTTTGGTGGGTTTCTTTGTTTGGTTTGGTTTGGTTTGTCTTTGTTTTTGTTTTTCAAAACAGAGTTTCTCTGTGTAGCCCTGGCTGTCCTAGAACTTGCTTTGTAAACCTCCTGAGCACTGGGATTAAAGATGTGTGCCACCACCACCCAGCAAGGACAGAATGTTTTGAAGATCCAGAAATGTTTAGTGAACCTGAATCTGGATTTTACTTAGCACTGGTGAAGATCAACTTTAATTTTTTTTCTGAAAATGACACTATTGATGGTTATCAAAGTTGGACCATGGGAATGAACTTGAGAATTCATTATGATATTTTTTGTCTACTTTTGAAAATTTTCATAATAAAAATTTGAAAAGAAGGGGGCTGGAGAGATAGATGGCTCAGAGGTTAAGAGCACACTGGTTGCTCTTCCAGAGGTCCTGAGTTTAATTCCCAGCAACCACGTGGTGGCTCACAACCATCTGGAATGGCATGCAGGTAAACATGCAGACAGAACATTATATACATAATAAATAAATCTTTAAAAACAAAACAAAATTTGAAAAGAAATTATAAACCCGGGGTTTGAGAGGGGGATCAAGGATGAAGAGCTCTGAAGGCCACTGCCGAGGACCCGGGCTGGGTTTCCAGCACCAGCAGGGCACTCCTCACTGTCACTAAGTGCAGTTTCACAGGTATGGCGCCCTCTTCTGGCCTATTTAAGTATTAAGGCTACACTTAGTGCGCTTATACAACTGTGGGTAAATGCTTACACATGGAAAATAAAAGCAAACTTTTACAAACAACTGGAAACCTTTCTAAAGTTCCAGCTAATCAGAAGATGATCCGAGTGAGTCTTGTCCGAAAGGAGCCGGCCGTGTCCGGCGACTTACCCACTGTGTGGTAGTACGGTGAAAGGGTCGAAGCCTTTACGCATCTGTGCCCTCCGAGGATTTCTGCTAGCATCTTATAGATCTGCTGTTGTGCTCCATTCATAACACCAGCATCTTTAGGAAGATTAAGAGAATGAAAAGCCATCCTTAGTCCACAAACTGAAGTCAGCAGTTGTGTAAAAGGCTCGCTTCCCAAACCTAAGAAGCTGAGTTTGATCCCCAGAGCCCAGGGAAAGGTGGGAGGAGAGAGCTGACTGCAGAAAGCTCTCCTCTGACCTATCCACGCCTGGGTGCGCAACCACAGGCACACACGAGAAGCAAATAGATACAGTAAGAGCCTAATGCGATCCATGTGAGGTAACACTAACTTCAGCAGGAGAGAAGTACCTGCTCTCAGGTGGTCAGGGTCCTAGTTAAGATATTCCTGTAATATCAAACCCACTTACAAAACTATTTAACAAGCCATAGGCCCTTCTGGAAACTCTCGCCACATTTAGATTTAATGGTGATAATAACAATGTATTACCTAGTAATCTGTTCTGGAATTAACTATACTCTCTTAACAAAAGAAAACAAACCTTTGTTATACTGTCCTTGACAAAAGCGATCGTGAAACCACGGGGTCTGAAACTCGGGGCATTCCAGGCAGACAGCTCTATTTAACTCCATAAGGCGGAACTGGACCCTTGCACTTAGAGTTGAAGGTAAAACTGAAATTAAAAACAAATTACTGATGTATTTGCATAGCCTAGACCTAGCAGAAACTTCATTTCTTCACACCATGACCTCCACTGTTGGTTGATACTTGAACCCTTACATGAGAAAGTCACTTCATTTGTGAATGCTTCAGATCTTTCAATTGATACATTTGGTAACATAATTAAGACTGATTTCTGCCAGGCAGTGGTGTTAGTCCCAGCACTCGGGAAGCAGAGGCAGACAGATCTCTGAGTTCAAGGCCAGCCTGGTCCACAAATTGAGTTCCAGGGCAGCTAGAGCTGTTACACAGAGAAATGCTGTCTCAAACAACAACAACAACAAGACCAGTTTCTACAGGTTGCAAATTTTAAAGCTACATTACTACATTTTTTAAAAATGCCACCAAGAGGGGCTGGAGAGATGGCTCAGAGGTTAAGAGCATTGCCTGCTCTTCCAAAGGTCCTGAGTTCAATTCCCAGCAACCACATGGTGGCTCACAACCATCTGTAATGGAGTCTGGTGCCCTCTTCTGGCCTGCAGGCATACACACAGACAGAATATTGTATACATAATAAATAAATAAATATTTTACAAAAAATGCCACCAAGAATTTTCACTGACTTCCTTCCAATTTTAGAATTTATCCTAAGAAACCAATGCATGGTCATGTGTGACATTTATTAGTTGTAATGAATTGGAAACAACCTGCAAAATGAGAAATGAGTTCCAGGATAGAACTAAAGAGCATGCCTGCAGCGCATGCACGAGGCCCTGGAGTTGATCCACAGCGCTGCCCTTTCTGAAAAAGGGGGTTCCTGGGTTTAAATGACAGAAGTTTCACTATAATTATATAATGGTATGCCATGAATCCAGTAAAAATATGACATCAAAAATATTTTATGACACAGAAAGTTGTTCAGAATATAATTCAATGAAAACAGTAGCTTAAAAACCAATTTAAGATCCCCATCCATTTAAAAACATACTTTGATATATAAGTATTTATATGGGACCAAAAGGAAGACACAAAAGAAACATTTTAAGCACTCGGGGTACAGCCTAATGGTAGAGTGTGTGGTTAGCATGCAAGACGCCCTGGGTTCAATCCTCTCCAAACAAAAGAAGAAAAAAAAAGTACCGCCCCATTAAAGTTGGTTCCACTTGGTGGAAGAACCTAACTCTGATGCTTTATGTGCTTACCAAAGTTTCCATTATATTCATATTTTTTTTTTAAGATAGGATCTTAATACAAAGTCCTAGGTGGCTTGGTTGGCTTCAAACTTTCAATCATTCTCTTCCCTCAGCCTCCCAAATGCTGAAACCATGGGTATAATGAGTGTGTGTGTGTGTACCTATTGTATATTATATATATTTACAAGTATATATGTATATATGTATACACACATCTCCACCTTCCCAGTCCTGGAGATAAAACCCAGGGCTTAACAAATGCTAAGCAAGCATTCTACCATTAAACTGTCCCCCAGCTAATCATAAAATGTTTTTATTAACACGAAATATCATTAGCCTTTAAATGCTTCAGTATAGACACAAATGACATTTGCATGCAAGGTACATCTAATAAATTTTAAAAGTAAAATGCAGATACATACTTTCAAGTTGGGAATCTAATCTGGCTAAGAACTCGATGGTAAACATTTTCTTTAGCAGATCTTCTGGAAAATATTCAAGCGTGGCCAAATAAAAACCAACAAACACAAATGTAACAGGATCCAATTTACCTAAAAAAATGAGTTTAAAATTATAACATACAGCTGTTTCACATACACACATAGATAAACAGTTCAGATAAAGCTAAGGTAACACAGCACAGCATGCTTTAAAACAAATGGGGTTAGGGAGCAAGCAAGAGATAAAGCAAGCACCTCAAAACAGTAGCATTATCCAGTCCACACCACGGCTATATTGGTGCTCCTTGCTCAATTCTTACATAAGTCTCACATTTTCCTACTAAAAAAGGTTTCAGAGAAGGGGATACTTCTCTTGAGACCAGTTCTTTCAATACACAACAGGTAGGGAGGTAGGTGGATGGATGGATGGATGGATGGACAGGCAGACAGAAGTCCATCCCAGGCAGCCTTGAACTCCCCTCCATAGCCCAGGCTGGTCTCAAACAAGCAACCTTCCTGCCTCACCAAAGGGCTGATATATACCACCACAGCCAGCTTTAAACATCTGCAGCACAGAGTTTCCAGCTATTATGAATACCCAATTACTGAAGGCCATTGTAACAGCTCTTCGGACATATGTATAAGAACTTGCTCATTCATTATACTGCCAAACATTTTACCTACCTTCATAAGCATTAAGGCGCTGGACACACGCTCCGAAAAACTCATCCCTTTGAGGTGGATCATAGTTCAAAACGCTGAATGGAAGAATAACAGCAAGGATGGAAAAGGGATGGATCTGTATAAACAAACAAAAATTTAGCCTGGGCTTCAGTGAAACTAATTTTAATCTACCATTTTAGACGAAGTCTTTCTAACATGCCTATAATGAAATTACAAATGTATCACTCATTAACTTTTGCATTCTGCGATGATCTATTTAAATCTGTAACTATTAGCAACTGTGAAAATGTTAGTAGAGAACAGCAAAGCAGCCAGCCTAAAACTTAATTCTGCCAGGTGAAAACCCTGTTGTGGGATCCGCCCCTCACTGGAAATGAACAGGAAGAAGCCCCAATTACTTCCACGTTATCAGTGCATTGAACAGAATAACATCCTTCTACAGACAAGGAAGTCCCTTAATTTATAGCCACCAGCATCTTTCTTCCACACACTTTTGTCCTTTGGAATTTTTGAGACAGGGTCTCACTCTACAGCCCACACTGGCCTCAAGCTCAAGGTCAGTTGCTGAGATTACAGGAGTGAGCTATGTTGCCTGGCAGTACTGAGGGCTGGACCAAAGGCCAAGCAAGCGATCCCTGATCTACAGCCACTTCGTTGTTCCCTGTTTACACACTCACTCATCTAAGCACCTGTCGGGCACAAAGCTAAGCAAGTTAGACATTTTTTATGTTCATTGTGAAAAGCACTAGCTTCTGAATAAAGACCTCATCCTGACATACAGACAACAATGATTTTGTAAGAAAGGGTCTTCTCATCCGATTCATAAGGCAGCTTAGCCAATGTAATTTCAGAAATAAATATACACTGACAACTTAGGAAGGCAAGTGTCAGCAAATACCTTTTTTTCTCAGTCTTCACGCTTCCTTCGATTTCGTGTGTGTGTGTGTGATGCACCAGTGTATGTGCCACACCCACACGTGTAAGTCAGAGGACAGCTTTGTATAGTTGGCTCTCCCTTCCATGTTTATCACAAGGATTTTGAGCAGCAAACTCGGGTCCATCAGACCCGCATTGATGGGAGGCAAGTGCTTTTGTTTGCTAAGCCATCTTGCCAGCCTGCAATTGTTTAGTAGTGATACCCAGGATTACAGAGGAAAAAAAGGAAAATTAAAAATCAGTTATTGGCTACCATGAAAATATGCCTAATATTTTAAATATTGCCTTCCAATTAAAAACTTCTGACTTCTGATCTTAGCTGGGCATAGTGGAGCATGCTTATCGCAGCAATTGGGAGGCAGAGGTAGGAAAATTTCTGGGAGTTCCAGACTGTGAGCCACATATTGAGACCCTGTCTCACAAAAAATGAAACAAAGCCAAAGCCCCTCTGGTTTCTGATCTTAAGAGCTGAAGGAATCAAAGAATGACCACAGTTCTCTCCAAATCCATGGCGAGGGGAACAAGGCAGCTGCTTCCTTTTGTCTGAGACAAGGTCTGTCTGTGTATCCACTTGGACCTTAAACTCTTGGCAATCCTCTTGCCTCAGCCTCCCAAACACCGAAATCTCAAGTGTGCCATCACACCCTGCTCAAAAGTGGTTTTAAAGTGATGAACCAGAAGCCAGAGCTGAATTTTTGGACTTCACACTCATCTAAGTTTAGAAAGTACTTAAGTATTTATAATTTATGTATCCATGTATGTATGTAGGTAAGCGCTTTCTGGAAGCTGAACAGTGTAAAAATCATGTCTAACATTTAAATCTCACCTTTTCAATCTGCTGGACAACCACCGAAGCTATCCTATCAAGTATTACGGTGCTGAGATAGTTAGTTTTGGAAAGAAAAGACGCGATCTTTGCAACGTTGGTGCCATCAATTTCATCCACAAAGTGCTCCAAAGCAGCAACTGATTCTTCAACCAACGACTCATGAAGCCATTCCCCTTTCAAAGATTTAAGTTCCTCCCACAGGAGATCCAAGCTGGTGCTTTGCTGTAACCGACGATGGCCCCAGTGATCTAATTTCTGAAGGAGATTCAGTTGTTGTCTAGCAGTGCTAGCCGAGCATGTGTGATCATTCTGGATCCACCTCAGGAGAGACACTACAATATCGCTCAGCTCCTTGAAGTCACACTGAGGTAAAACGGCTTCGATGCGGGACAGCGCTGTCTGGTCGAGGCGAGAGGAAGGAAGCATGGATAGAGCAGAGACCAGAATACAAATCTCACTCGGCATGACGCTAGCTTCCAAATGACTGTTACGTAAAGGAAAAGGGGGAAAAAACAGAAAAAATATAACTAACACCCCAGCAACAACAAAAAAACACACAAAATATGTGAATTAAAATATTGTTATATAATTGTTAAAAAGGTAAGGTGGTCTTAGAAAGACAGGTTCATTTAAAATTAATTCACAGGGGACAGATCATTAGGAGTCACTAAAGAAAGGCAAAGGTGACAACCATGCTCCACACTTCACGCAGTAAGAAAACCACCATCAATGGGGAAAAAGTCAGCATCAGAAGAGAGCCTGCTACTGCGACCGCCACTGCTGCTGCTACTGCTGCTACTGCTGCTGCAAGAAACTGAGCTCAGTGTCTGCATGGCCACCAGGACTGCTGCGACGGTGAACAGGCCCTGGTACAGGGCGATCCTCAATAATACCAATTCCCTTCTTAGTTATGAATACCAGAAATACAGTCTTAAAACACTGGCAGACAGACACATGCTCACAAGCAGACAGACAGACACCTGACCTCACTTTCTTCTCCCCGTTTTCTAAATCTGTGCAGTAACTACCCCCACCATGAGGACAGTAATTCTTAAACAACAAATCAAGGACTGGCTATTTTAAGACACCTTTAGGTTGAGAAGTGTGGGAGAAACGATTTAATCTACATTAAATACAAAACTGAGTTGCTGTGATTTTATTATTTGTTGTTTTTGGAGTTCTGAGTTCCTGTATAAAAAAAGAACAAAGAGCAAACACACACACAAACCCTACTGATTGCTTGGGAAATAAAATAATCTTACTATTCCATGCTAGTCACAGTGCACTGGTCATTCACCATTAGTAAACATAAAGTAAAATTAGCAATACTTCATTTTAGCTCAACCAAATCAATGGAAAACTGAGAACGCATGTTAAATAGCCAGAGAAAATACAGTAATTTTCAGTAATTAATGTAAAGGGAAAACTGTGTAAATGTTTGCCTAGCTGTTTAGTGGTACTGGAATCACACAAGGGCCACACGGTAGTACGGCACAGTAGAAACAGCCCAGGTCTCAGAACGACAATAATAAGCCATTCAGGTTTGTCTAGAAAATTCTAGCTATTTTATACACTGTAAAGCAAACAAGGATAGATTTCTAAATGAAACACTAATTAAATGTTTTATTCTTTAAACACTTAAATCTTACCTGAGAATTAATTCTCGAAGTTTCATTAAAAGCTCCTTATTTTGGAAATGTAGACAACTCAAGGCTTGTGTTATCTTCAGGAGCTCTATCGATTTATAGTTATCCAAATGTTTAGACAGCACCGAAGCAATCCTAGAAAGAACATTATTGTAGCCCGGTCATTCACTTGTTTATTGAACAATCACTAGACAGACTTCAGGCCACAGACACTGCTTTGTGGAGGATCCGTAAAAATGCCTCCTTTTCTGTTCTGACAGAACTGTCTCCAGATGCTGACAGAAACATAACTAAACAGGCAATCGTGAAGTGTGAATTTAAAAGTGGGAGAAGAGCATGGCTTCAGGGGCTGGAAAGGTCCCTCAGCAGTTAGGAGCACTGGCTGCTCTTCCAGAGGACTCGGGTTGAGGGCCCAGCACCCACATGGTGGTTCACAATGATCTGTAGCTCCAGTTCCAGGGAACCCAACAACCTCTTCTGGAGTCTGCAGGCACCAGGTGGGCACATGGTACAAATATATACATGCAGGACAAATACTCAGAAATACATTCTTTACAGAATATTTTTCTAAGGAAGGGCATAGCTTTACTTCCCAAATTACAAAACAGAAAAACAGAAAGAAAGCTCACGGAGCAGATATCAAATTCCACATCCTGCTGCCAAGAATAGTTTTTATCATAAATTACTAGCAATTAGCAAAACTAATCCCATTTTCTCCCATAACCTCCTGGCCCTCAGGGGGATAAGCTAAAAGCAATTGAAAGAAAAGAAGAAAGAGGGAAACATATGAGAAATGAGACAGTGGAACCTTAACTAAAGGAACATACAATAAAGAAAATTAAGCATGTGCAATTTGAATGGCTTTTTTCTTCCTTCTTAAATCTCACACTGCCAATAAGTTAGGGGATGGCATTAGAGGCAACAGTGAGACAAGTCATTATGGAAGCCAAGTGTTCTGGAAAGCACAGCATGCACTACAATGCATGCACTATGATGCATGCGCTATGATGCACACACTACGATGCATGCACTACAATGCATGCACTATGGTGCATACACTACAATGCACACACTACGATGCATGCACTATAATGCATGCACTACGATGAAAACCTCTGTAAAGAACCCCATCTCTGTCCTGAAGTCACAAACATTTGGGAACATAAACAATGTTCATTCTTTATTACTTCAAAGCTATTAGACACAAGTATTTGTCAGGAAAAAAAAGCAGATACTTATGAGTGACAACTAAACTTAGCACCATGAACTTCAGGAAAGACTACTTTTTAATCAAGTGTGCATTTCTGCTCTCCATATCTTCCATGGCTGTCAACACTGTCAGCACTTGCTGGCTGGTCAGCTCTTCTGACATCAACAGCATAGTTGATTTAAGCCTAGAAATAAAAGTATGGGTTTTTTAATGTTGGAAAGCTGGCTTTCAATTTGTTTTAATGAACAGTTTCTGGGTAACAGAAAACTACAGATCTCTCTACTATGGAGGACTTGGAAACCCTGCTTAAAGAAATCTCTTCACCACACATCTACAGATTACTATTAATTCCTGGGCTGAAGAAATGTCTCAGCAGGTAAGAATGTGTACTACTCTTGCGGAAGACCTGAGTTTGGTTTCCAGCATCCGTTTCAGGTGATTTACAACCACCTGAAACTCCAGTACCAAGGACTCCAGCACTCTACAGGACTCCAAGTGCACCTGCACTCATACGTAAACTCATACGCACGCACACACACACACATGCAAATAATTTAAAATAATCTTTTAAAAAGACTACTATAGCCGGGTGGTGGTCGTGCATGCCTTTAATCCCAGCAGGAGGCTGAGGCAGGAGGATTTTTGTGAGTTTGAGGCCAGCTTGGTCTACAAGAGCTAGTTCCAGGACAGGCTCCAAAGTTACAGAGAAAACCTGTCTCGAAAAACAAAAACAAAAAAACAAAAAAAAAAGACTACTATAATTCTGAATATTCCATAAAGCTATGCTGATTAGGGATTAGAGTTACTATTGCATAACTCTAGCCTCATAGTCTAGAAAGAGATAACCAAATGATATTTGTGTATTAATTTAATATTTACATATCTCCTAGCAATATCTAAATATTTTAAGCGAAGCAAGATCTAACCAAACACCATGAATATTCCTATATATATCATATCTAACCAAATGCCAGGTGCTGACCCATAATTCAGCAGTTTGAGGGGCTGATACAGAATTACAAATGTTCAAGACTTACCTGAGAAACTGAGTGAGATTGTCTCCAAATAAAAAATAAATAGATAAGAGTGCTTGTCTAATATATGAAAGACCCTTTCTGTGTTCAACTCACAACAAAATAACAAAAAAAAATCCAACTATATCAATAGTCTATGAAATCCGAACTTCTTAAAAAAGATGAGGCAGAGCAAACTCACTCAAGCTGTAGGTGCACCTGCCCCTGTGCATCTGAGTGTTCTGAGGGGAGGAGTCGCAGTTCGGGCTAGGCTGGGACTCCCTGTAACCCAGAGTGGCCTCAAACTCACTATACTCCCTCCAAGGACTGGGATCACAGCCAGGCACCATTGTACCCATCGAAGAGTGTGCTTTCTTATTTTTTTCTAATTACTGCCAATCTCTGTGTGTGTGTGTAAAATCATTTTTAATAACAGAACTATTTGTTCTGGAATTGGAATAAATATTTGTAACACATAATTATTATTAACATTGTCTTAGTGAGGTTTTTTATTTTGGTGATAAAACACCATGACCAGAAGCAACCTGGGAATTTTGACGTCACGTGAGTGTGAGGAAGATAACGGGATAGAGAGCCCACTGTTTAGACTACCGCAACCTAAACAGCGCACACTCTTACGCTGGGGCAGGAGTCTCATGCAAACCCAGGAAGGGCTAATGGAAATACTTAGGTAGGACCCCTCATCTTCTGTCTTGTCCACTGAGGAGGATACCAGTCATCTGAAAGAACAGACTGTAACAGATTATTCCCCTTCCATAGCCAAGTGGGGCGATTCTGATGAACTTCCGAGCTCCAAGGAGAGCTAAGCATGAAGAATTCAACATGAAAATAGAACATTTTTAAAGTAAACTTACTGTTTCCTTATTTCAGGCCCTGCCACCGGTCCCAACGTGGCAAACAATCTGACAAAACTTGCGGGATGACCAGATGACCAGGGGATCATCTCAACCAGCCTCCTTCGAGCCACTTCAATAAATTCAAAACTGTGGAACTGCAGAGACTGGTACAGGCTGAAGATTCTACAGATGGCCTCCAGGTCAAGATGGCTCAGGCTGCTTAAAAACACTCTGTTACACCGCTCCAAGAGAGGGTAATAACTGCGCTTGACGTTGCGGAGGAACAGTAATATCCGTCTAGCACTGTTGACCTTGGAAGAGTCGACACTGTCAAAAAGCAGTTCTGTTTTGTTCACGAGTCTTTCTTGGAAACACTGGGATATTATAGAAGAAATGCTGACCATCAAGACAGACAAGGCCCTGAAGGAGAAGAGAAGAGACACAGATTTTTATACACCTAGCAAAAGTGACCAGTTCTAAATTAAATGACTAGCCGTGGAAAGAAGTTGGCAAGCACACCGCTTCATGCCATAAACTGTTTCATTGATTTTACTTTTTTCTGGCATCGTGAGAAACGGTCCTCTGGCTCTGACCTGGCAATCCCACGTTTTCTACTGCCACACGTGGAAACGTGACAGATGTCTGGGGGCAGGGCAGGCAAACTCGGTAAATCTTAGATCCCTCAGAGATCTCAACAGGACCAAGCAGCTCTTGCCGTCGCTGTTGTGTGGAGGAGGATGACGACCTCACAAGAGATGCGGTTATAGTGATGGCTGACACATCTCTATCTATACCCAAAGCCCGGCATCCGCACACCCCCACAAGCCCCAAATAAATGTACCTTAAGTCCTGTATGTCTTCCAAGTTCCTATTTACAATATCAGCTATTTTTCCCATTAACGGACTGAAATACAAATGCTGATCGGCCAGGCAAGTAGAAAATATTGAGAGCACATTAGTATCAAACCTGTTAAAAGAAATTCAAATTGGATCATTATTATCAATTAGAACACATGATATAGTTATAAAATAAGATGAAGGTTTTTCAAGGGCTGGGCAGTAAGTCAGCGGTTGGTTGCTTGCCCAGTACATGCCAGGCCCTGGTTCTGGGTTTGCTCTTCAACACTAAAAACAAAACTAAACAAAATAAAAAAAAAAAAAACAAGTAATTTCAAGCCAGGTGCACACCTTTAATCCCAACACGTGGGAGGCAGAGGCAGTCAGAGCTCCTTGAGTTCTAGGCCAGCCTGGTCTACTACAGAGCAAGGTCCTGGACAGCCAGGGCTACATACAGAAACCCTGTCTCAAAACGCACAAAAGAACAAAATCCATCAAATTTTCCAAGGTGAGCTGATTATTTATTATTACAAAAGTACCAAATGATCAGACTTTTAAAGTCCAGTACTGCCGAAAGATTTACAAGAGAATCACTCAAAATTATTGGAGTTTCACTTACTTACTTTTTGAGGTAACACGGAACGTTGATTCATTTGCATATTAGCAAATGAGTAAAAATCTCTAGACAGGGAAAACGATTCAATTTCTTCAAGTGACTGGCAAGACAAAAGTGCACCGCTACACAGATCAATGCTTTCCTTTCCCTTTCTTCTCTTTTTTGTTAGTTCTGGAGATCAAACAGAGCTTGAATATACTATCCTTGCACTGAGCTACCTCCCCAGTCACTTGATTTTAATTTGTTACTATTGTTTGTTTTCTTTATTAAAAGCATCAGGGTTGGGGCTAGAGAGAGAGCTCAGTGATTAAGAGTGTATACTGTTCTTCCAGAGAAACCCAGTAGGCTGCCTAGCACTCCCATCAGGCGGCTTGCAACTAGGGATAGCACCAGCATCCAGTGCCCCTTCTGGACTCTGCAGGCACCTGCACACGAGTATACACATCCCCTCACTGGACACATACATATATACATAATTTAAAAAAATAAAACAAAAACTAAAAAATCTATTTAAGCATAAGGAAGTTCATAGCAGCACAACTCATAAGAGCCAAAATCTTCAGTATTATGGATAAATCCCACATAGCCACTGAACAACATAACAGCAATAAAAAGAAGAAACCACTGAGCTGGGTGGTGGCAGCAAATACCTTTAACCCCGGCACTCAGGAGGCAACTCAGTAGGCAGATTTCTATGAGTTCAAGGTCATCCTGGTCTACAAAGTAAATTCCAGGACAGCCAGGTTTCTCTTATTACACAGAGAAACCCTGTCTCAAAAAATTAAAAGCCCAAAAGTAAATAAATAAAGAACCACTGAATCATATATTATGGAAGACTCCTCAAAACACAATGAGAACTAGAAACATGGATATGTACTATAAAAATTCATTTCTATAAAAAACAAACAACAACAACAACAATAACCAAAAAACCCTAATTTAGCCAGGTGGTGGCGGCGCACACCTTTAATCCCAGCACTTGGGAGTCAGAGGCAGGCGGATCTCTGTGAATTTGAGGTCAGCCTGGTCTACAGGATGGTCCAGGCCAGACTCCAAAGCTACAGGCAGGCTCCAAAGCTACAGAGAAACCCTGTCTTGAAAAACAAAAAACAAAAACAAAAACAAAAACAAACAAACAAACAAACAAAAAAACCTAACTTTTGGCAAGGGTGAAAATCCTTTTGCAGGACCACAAGATGTCTCAGTGACTAGATTCAATAACCTCGATCCCATACAACTGCTGTCAGTTGTTCTAACACATGCATGTACCTACAAAATGAATAAATAAACACAGTGGAAAAAACAAATAAGAAGTCAGCATTCTTTGGGGATAACAAAGTGGAGCTGGAGATTCTAAGGAGAATTTGGGCGAAGCAGTGATATTGCCTGTGGTGTTTGTTTTTGAGACAAGGTCTTCCTCTGCAGTCCTGGATAGCCTGGAATTCACTATGTAGCTCAGGCTGGCCTAGAACACATAAAAATCCTCTTGCCTCAGACCTTCCCAGTGCAGGGATTCCAAGCATGAACTGCCTAGCATGATACTGTTTCTCAGATTAATTTTTTTTATTTATTATGTATAGTGTTCTGCCTGCATGTCTGCCTGCAGGCCAGAAGAGGGCACCAGATCTCATTATAGATGGTTGTGAGCCACCATGTGGTTGCTGGGAATTGAACTCAGGGCATTTGGAAGAGCAGTCAGTGCTCTTAACCTCTGAGACATCTCTCCAGTCCTGTTTCTCAACCAGGCTTAGGGACAGGCATCTTCATCAATCACAGAGCACCTTGCTGGTCCTTGTGGTTGCTTTCAGAATCCTCCATCTCTCTCCTACTTTGAGTTTTCTTCCCTTGACTTCCATCTGCCTTATCCTACTAGCAGTGGCTTTGGCTATCACAGATTCCTAGGTAGAAAATGCAGAAGACTTCTTTTTTTTTAAATATTTATTTATTTATTATATATACAATATTCTGTCTGTGTGTATGCCTGCAGACCAGACGTCATTACAGATGGTTGTGAGCCACCATGTGGTTGCTGGGAATTGGACTCAGGACCTTTGCAAGAGTAGGCAATGCTCTTAACCGCTGAGCTATCTCTCCAGCCCTGCAGAAGACTTCTTAAACTGGTTCTGTTATTGCCTCGCCTCTCATACACGGAGGACTTCCCACACATACTTGCAGAGTGTGCCGTATATTCACAAGAAAATCCTGAACAGAGTTCACATTCCTCTTGATGGCGATCAGTTACGGCCACATGAAAACACAGCTGTCCAGCTTGGACAGTGCGTTGGCGACAACACCGTCAACAGCGGTGGACCTGAAACTTACTTTCTTTTCTATCCTTCTTTTGGGTGAAGTCAAAATTGATTGACAGCAACACGAAGCAAGCTAAGACTGAAAGGTGCCATCTAACAAAAGCAGTTACTGGTGTAAAGTTTGCTCTTCCAGAAGGTTTGAAGCCGACTGTACCCTGCGGTCCCTGCCGTCTCACAGAAACGGAGTAGCAGAAAAGCCAGAGATGCTCAAGAGTCACACAGCCCTCCCAGTCCACCAAACTCGTGTCTTCCTTGCAATCTAGGAGTTGCAATTGTTGTTGTTGTTGTTGCTGCTTTTATTTAATGTGTATGGGTGTTGCATCTGAGTGTATGTCTGCACGTACCACATGCTGCCCCTGCAGCTGTGGAGGCCAGAGGGGACTCTCTGGAACTGAAGTGACAGATGACTATGAACTGCCAGATGGGTGCTAGGGATCCACTGCCAGGCCATCTCCCAAGCCCCGAAATTTAAGGGTTTTTTTTGTCTGTTTGTTTTGTTTTCTGGAGTCAGTCAAAATCTTGTTTGTAAAGCAGAACTCTTCAAGAGTGCAAGCTACTAGTTGACTACCTGGACTACCTGTGACTCTGGGGCACTTACGGTCTGATTAATACGTCTATGGAAAAGCATACGGAAACCTGCTCTGAGTTAAACAGGGAACAGATGAAATAGTTCCCTTTCTTTATTAAAGAAAGAATGTTTTTTATACAATTAAAAATCCTCAAATGAATTGAATTTCAAACTTTTTTTCTTTTCTTTTGAGACAGGGTTTCATGTAGCCCAGGCTGGCCTCTGTGAAGCCAAGGATGATTTTGAATTTCTGGTCCTCAGTCTTGTGGTGGTATGAAAGAAAATGGCATTTATAGTGGTATATTACTTAGTGTTTTAATAAATAAGGCTTGCCCGAAGATCAGAGTGCAAAGCAGCCACACTAGTCAGCCATACAGGTCAGGCAGTGACTGCACACACCTTTATTCCAAGCAGCCATTGAGGCTGGGCGGTGGTGGTGCACGCCTTTAATCCTAGCACTAGAGAAGGGGAGATAAAGGCCAGGGGAGATAGGACTCATACTCAGTCTCAGCCTGAGGATTCATGGAGGTAGGATCGCCCACTTCAGTCTGAGGTAGAGGTAAGAGCCAGTGGCTGACCACTTTGCTTTTCTGATCTTCACCTTGAATCCTAATATCTGTCTCTGGGTTTCTATTATTTGTGCTACAGGCCCCTATGGAGAGTGGCACTATTAGGAGATGTGGCTATGTTGGAGTAGGTGTGACCTCATTGGAGGAAGTGTGTCACTGTGGGTGTGGGTCTCCTATGATAATAATGGACTACACCTTTGAAAGTGTATGTCACCCCCAATTAAATGTCTCCCTTTGTAAGAGTTACCAGGGTCACCGTGTCTCTTCAGAGCAACGGGAGCCCTAACTAAGACAAGCCTCCACCTCTACAGTGCCCTAACACGGCTGGTTTGCTGTGGCGCTGGGGATGGCATCCTCAACCTCGGGTATGTGCGCACGCATTCTATCAAGTCAGCTACATCCCCAGGCCCAGTGCATTCTTCCCCTATGAAACTTCATTCTTTCCCTCTGCTTCGTTTTGATAACCATCCCCATAACCCTGCTCTTGTAGGATAAGCCCAGAGTACTTGCCTTTCCAGCCTTCTCCATGCTTCTATAACCAGTGCTTCAACCAGAGGGTGATGGGATTCAACACCAAACCTCAATAAAAACAAGGCAAAGAAATTTTTAATCATGAAAGCCAAGAGACTGCAAATGGATCAATAAAAAATAGAACCTCAGTAACGGCTGGCTTGTTAGCAGACATTAATCTGACTTAACCTGCTTAACCTATTATATCCTCATGTTAGCCAACCAAATTTCTCTGCTAGTCCACGATCAACCAGTCTCACATATGGAAAGCCAGCATTTGGACTTTCCCGGCTTTCTAAACTATATCACTAAGTGGTATCAAAAAATATTCTTCAAATATCCTGAAGATACTACAGTATAAGAAAAACTGTCTTCTGGAAGAACCCATTTAAAAGAGATTCTTAGGAAATTAAGATATGAACTAGAATTGTTTTCATCAATTGCAAAGCAACTTACTGTTTTATGCTGTATAGCACATTCACCAGGGTGTCATCACCCATTGCTTGGATGTGGTTCGCCGTGGCATTGCAAAGAGTAAGAAACTGGGGATGGTTTCTAACAAACTCAATGTTTTTTTCCAAGTTAGTCTTCTGCTTCTGAAACTGCCAGAGCATATTAAACGCACAACCCACTTGTGGCTCTGAAAGCGTGGCCGGACTTCTTGCGATAAGATCAAATACTTGTTCTTCATCTGTACAGTTCTGCATTTGAATAATTAATGGCTCACAACTGAAGGGGCGGAACTGAACCACTCTCCGAGAGAGTAGAGAGAGGCCTCTGAGACAGAACATATTTATAACGGATGGGTCTCCAAAATACAGGTTTCTGTTCCTTTGTTAGCACAGGTTTTCTTTGGTCCATCTGCAGCTAGAAGCTGGGTATTATGTGATGGCATAAAAACTGGCATTCACTAATGTGTTTTATTCCCATCCTGATGGCTCTAAATCCATTCCAATAGAATCTGCAAAACAACTGGTTTACCTTGGTTACTCATTTCATTAATATCAAATTACCACCCCACCCCCCCAACATCAAACTTCAGGCAACAAGGATTTTCCTTGTTTGTTTGAACTACAGACTTTGTTCTTGGTCTGGACCAGCTAGATTTGATCCAAAATGAAACATCCAGGAAAAAGGGGTTTCTTCCTGCTCCCAATTTTTAAAAGTTTCAATTCTGATCATAAACGCGGCAGAAGAAAAAAAATCAAAATTGTTTTTTGTGTGTTTGTTTTAGGGTGTTTGCTTGCTTGTTTGTGGAGATAGGGTCTCACCGTGTAGCCAATCCACGATTACAAAAAGGTGACCTTGAGGAAACCATTTAACTGTGCGAGAGCCTGGGGAGTGTGACAGGTTGGCTCTGCCGTGAGCGGCACACGGTTCACAGGTGACAGGTAACCCGTTCACCTGGCCCGCAGGAGAGCTGACCCTGAGCCTAGGTGGCCAGCACCAGACGGCAATGGGCTCGACCTACCCCGACCTCCTGCGGAGACCCAAACCAGCAAGGAGACTGCTCAACTAAACCGCGCGTCCCGGCGGAACTACACCGGGTACGGAAGGCAGAGCCGCTGACAAACCCGCGAGTCCTTCCCCACGCCCGCCACGGACCCGACGGAGCTGCTCCCGACGGCTCAGAAAGCAGGTATCATCCAAGGCCCCGACAGCAGCAGGAGGAGGCTGGCGTCTCTGGCTCACCAGTCGCGTCCTGGGGTGTTTAGCCTTCCCTGGTGAGACATCTTTCTCTAACAGTGTCCCAGAGCGGAAGAAACGCAGCCCCAAGGCGGCATGCACCACAGAAGTTTAAACTACATGTCCCAAAGGGCACCGCGAGAGGTACAGGCGGATCTACGTGCACAGAGAATTCTGGGCTTGGTAGTTTCATTCTCACTGACTGAGCCGTTCTTAGTGATTGGAGGAAACACGGGTCCCTTAAGGCATCTCTACGAGGAAGATGTTTCCCAGTTTCTGAAGCACTGACATATTTGTAATATACACAACAAAATTTTTTTTTGATGATTCTAGAGGGCCTAAGAGGTAAATGCGCTTGCTACCAAGCCTGATGGTGTGAGTTCCCTACCAGGGACCTACATATAAGAAGGGAGCCAACTCTTTCAGTTTGTCGTTTGACCCCATGTACACACATATACAGATGTATATACATAGTTTTACATGTTCATCAAACATTTCCTTTATGTGCAAAATACATATTTTACCTTTTTAAATTCTTAAAAAACAATAACTACTTTGATTATCTGTACCAGGCAAATTTATTTATTTATTTATCCATCTATTTATTTATTTATTTTATGATTTTTCGAGACAGGGTTTCTCAGTAGCTTTGAAGCCTGTTCTAGAACTAGCTCTTGTAGACCAAGCTGGTCTCGAACTCACAGAAATCCGCCTGCCTCTGCCTCCCGAGTGCTGGGATTAAAGGCATATGCCACCTCCGCCCAGCAAATTTAATACTGGTAATTTCACAAAAAGCATTCCTTGGCCAACATACGTATATATTTTTGAAAGAATGAAACAGAATTACATACTATGAAATGTTGTATAAATCTGTTTGCTTTATTTTTTTTTAAGACTGTTATGGGGGCTGGAGAGAAGGTTCAGCAGTTAAGATCATGAGCTGTTCTTCCAGAGGATCAGGGCTCAATTCCCAGCACTCACATGGCCCCTTAAAACCACTTGTCACTTTGGTTCTAGGGAATCCGATGCCCTCTTCTGACCTGTACAGGCACCTGGTGGGTCTTCAGTCCAATTAGAGAGCTGTTAGACACCACCAAGATAAGCATGCCACTACCACACCAACTTCTTGTGGCTAATAGGCATCATAGGTGGGTAGGATGTGTTTGTTTCCTTCCTGCCTTTGGAAGCTGGCATGGAGCCTTTTGGTACCATGAAAGCTAGCCCCCAGAGAAGAAGTTTTCAGGTCAGGGGCTTTCTGAGTCCTTTGTCTGAAGCGAAGGTAAGTCCTTACCTTCCACCTCTTGGGGGTAGCCAAGTAGAGCAGCAATAGCCTACAACGTTTGGGATCTCTTGGACAACCCCCACAGTCTTGGTTATCTTCCTACTACTTAGAAGCACTGAATTGGGCTTCTTGTCACTTCTTTCCCCTAGGAACTCCAGCTAAAACCAATCCTGCCACATTTGCTTTTGAGTGATTCAGACAGTCCCAAACTGCTTTCCACCGCCCCACCCCCCCTTTCCCTCATTCTCTCCTGAAAGCTTTAGCACTTCATGAACCCAACATATATACTAGTCTAATTCATTCAGATCTGCCACAGGCTCGCTTCTTGTTCCATGCAAATTCCTTGGATTCTTTGTGTGTGTGTGTGTGTGTGTGTGTGTGTGTGTGGTTTTTCAAGACAGGGTTTCTCTATGTAGTTTTGGAGCCTATCCTGGAACTGTAGACCAGGCTGGCCTTGAAGTCACAGGGATCCACCTGCCTCTGCCTCCCAAGTGCTGAGATTAAAGGCATGTGCCACTGTCATCTGGCATGTGTGGCCTAGTCTGGCTTTGAACTCGTGATCCTCCTGCCTCCTCCTCCTTCAGCAAATCCTACCGGCATGCACCACCACAACTGGCTAGGGCTCTTGTTCCATTATTTTTCAACTCTTCTGTGAACACATACCAATCTGATCTGGTGAGCTGCACACCAAACACTTCTCTCAATGTTTAACTCCCTTACAATGTCTATCCTTCCTCTGCTGCCTTTCAGTTCCTTATGTCCATAGTAACTACTTCCAAGGACAACCAATTGTCTCTAATGATTCATCTGAGCCAGTCTATCAAGGACTGAGTTCCCTCGTGTGGCTTCAGATTAAAATAGCTTTTGCCTCAAGGAGGGATGAAGAGTTGTATTTCTGTTCCTCCCTTTCACAGGACTCAGACTGATCCCACCAACCCTGATGTCACACATCCTCACAGCCGGGTTGTAAAGGACTCGTTCATTTCTTCTTTGGAAGTCTTTCTCAATTCAAAAACTTCAAAGACAGAGTGCACTCTGATACTCTTAGTTTACTCTGCTCAGCCATTATTTAAATTTAATTAATTTTGCTTCCTTGAGACAGGGTTTCTCTGTGTTACAGTCCTGCCTGTCCTGGAAATCTCTGTAGAACAAGCTGGTCTCAAACTCAGAGATCCTTCTATCTCTGTCTCCTGAGTGCAGGGATTAAAGGTGCATACCATCACCGCCCAGCTCTATTGGGCCATTAAAGCTGCAGTCTACATGATGAATCTTGGATTTCCCCTCCTTCTGTATTAAAGGTCAGCCTTCCGACTTCAGGTCTTTTCTGCCTTTCTCCTTCCTGTCTGATCCATCCATGGACTCCAGGCTGGGTGGTCAGAAGGGCTGTTGGTGCAGATTTAGTTTATACTGTCTTTTCCTTTGACCTGTCGGCTGTAAGAACTGCACGCCAGCGTCCCCATCTCAGTCTCCCCTTTTCTTGCCCAATCAGGTGGTGCTCACGTGTCTTTTTCCTGCTGTCATTCCTCCTTCAGATGTGCAAGTTCTTTCTGGCTAACCAGCTCAGCCTCAGCTGCATGTCATCTCGCCCCCACGAGAAGCTACGCCGTGGTCCACAGACTTACTATCATGTTCTGTATGTGTTACTATCCAAGGCTGCAGTATAGTCTTAAGTCTCTCAGCTGTTTGGGGGAACATCCCTGTGTTCATTAGAATGTCTATTTATGTGATAAACACCATAACCAAAACCACCTCAGGAAGGAAGGGGTCTGTTTCATCTTATAGCCCAGCAAGGGAAGTCAGAGCAGGAAGCTGGAGGAAGGAGCTGAAGCAGAGCTCATAGAGAAATGCTGCTTACTGGCTCTCATACAACCTAGAACCACCTTCCCAAGAGTGGTACCACCCACAGTGAGCTAGGCCCTTCTTTAGCTATTATTAGCCAAGAAAATGACTTACAGACTTATCTATCGGCAGTCTGACAGAGGCATTTTCTCAACTGCAGTTCCGCTTCCAAGATAACTTTAGATTTATGTCTAGTTGACAAAAAAAAAAAACAGCACAATTCACATACGCTGTGGTAACCCCATTCATCAGTGAGGTTTGCCACCCTATACCACATAAGAAAGCCATTATGAAAGTGAAAGTACCCCCCCAAGAATGCACCACCCTCAGACGGCTCAGCCTCAGTTGTTCATCTTATCATCCATAACAGGGAGCATGCAACCGCTCCTCTCGAACACATCCTTGGTTCTTTCAGACTCCGTCTAGGCTCCTAGAGTGTTGTGTTCCTTTCCTGGCGAGACGTGAAGAGATGTCTATTCATCTCCACGAAGACATTGATGGCAGAGCAAAGGAACAATTCCACTCAAGTCTACCTTAGTGAACCCATGAGTTTGTTGGGGTTACATAAAAGATAACGCGTGACTGAGGGGCAGCTGCATCACCAAGCAACTCCCTCAGCCTAGGTGACGACTTGCAAAAGCTGCTTTGGGGCAGCTCAGCGGTCTCCTCTCTCCCAGCAGCTGTTTAGCTCCTCTAACCTCAGAGAGGGGTCGTGTAAGCTTCATAGCTCTCTTATCAATCTTTGCAATTTTTAAAAGATGCATTTGAAGTCGAGCGGTGGTGGCTCACGCCCTTTAATCCCAGCACTGGGGAGGCAGAGGCAGGCGGATCTCTGTGTGTTCGAGGACAGCCTGGTCTACAAAGTGAGTTCTAGGACAGCCAGGGCTGTTACACAGAGAAACCCTATCTCGGAAAAAAGGAAGAAAGATGGGGCTGGAGAGATGGCTCAGAGGTTAAGAGCATTGACTGTTCTTCCAGAGGTCCTGAGTTCAATTCTCAGCAACCACATGGTGGCTCACAACCATCTGTAATGAGATCTGGCATGAAAGGAATGCTGTACACATAATAAATAAATAAGTTAAAAAAAACTAAATAGACTCTTTTCTTAAAAAAAAGGAAGAAAGAAATTGTTTGTGTGTGCCTATGTTTATGTGTGTAAGTTTGTACACATGTGTGTTCAAATGCATGTACAGAGACCAGAAGAGGGCACTGAATGTTCTCTTCTCTCATTCTCCATCTATTTATTTTGGGGACAAGTTTTCTTCTTGAATCAGGAGCTTGTATTTTCTCAGTGAGTCCCAGCAACTTTCTTATCCCTACCCCCTACTCAGAGCTGGGCTTACAGGCTTACCCGGGAAGCCTCTCTCTTGTTATGTGAGTGCCAGGATCTGAATTCTGGAGCTCAGGGCTGCCCAGCAGCAGCTCCACTTTGCTGAGCTGTCTCTCCAGCCCCCAAGTTCTTAAACTGCTTGTGAGTTTTGCGAGTCTAGCCCTCATTTCCCTCCAGGAAGGAATGGTTTTTCCATCCAGATGAAATAACTATACAACACTCTCCCTTACTTCAGTCTTCTAAGTTCTATATAGGTCTGTGTAGCCACCAAAGTTAAAAACCTATTTTAGTGGTGGCACTCACAGCAATTTAGACCTTAGAATAAGTGGGATTGGAAGGGATTAGAAAGTTGTTAGATTTTATTTTTCTTTTTTGTGGATTTGAATAGATTTTTTTATTGAATTTATCAAGCTATAAATTTTTCTCTGCTCTTCTTTCTTCTTCTCCCTCACTTTCAACCCTCTCCCGTGGTCCCCATGCTCCCAATCTACTCAAGAGATCTTGTCTTTTTCTACTTCCAATGTAGATTAGATCCATGTATGTCTCTCTTGGGGTTCTCATTGTTGTCTAGGTTCTCTGGGATTATGATTTGTAGGCTGGTTTTTTCAAAGTTGTTAGACTTTAAACATCTACGGAGTGCTGGGGATGTAGTCCAATGCT